GGGGAAGGAAGGCCTACTCTTGCACGAATATCATGCATCGGGCCTCTAGTATGAAATAAAAAAAAATGCAGATTTTTACAAGATGGGAAAATCAATTAGAAAAATGATGTTATAGGTTATACAGCTTTTTCTTCATGTTTGCAATTCAAATTGCAAAGCAAGACAAATGGCCAATATATTAGCAAATGAGACTTTTTAACTGTGTGAAATATAGTCAAAAAGTGTCTGTGTTGTTTGAAGATTGAGATTACAGCCAGTTGGGGAACTATTACAATTCCTTCATGCTTTTAGGTTTTGGAAGTTGTCCAAACATATGTAAATACATATTTTTTAAAGCACAAAGCCAAACCGGTATTACAAAGTGGCAAAAAAAATCTGAGTAGAGAGGAATCCAAAAAATATTTATGAAGTATGTACTCTATGCTAATATGCAAGGGACAATCTACCTCAGAGAGAAAGATTAGTTGGCAGGTGGCAGAATTTCTCACAAAGTTTGACCTAGTCTCCCTGAAATTGCTCAGTATAGCTCAGTAGTGTAGTCACACAATTTTAACATTTCTGGCAGGTGAAGGTGGTGAAGAATAGCTAAATATTCATGCAATTATTATTTTTTTTTTCTGAGAGAGAAGAGGGGGGAGGTGAGAGAGAGATATTGACTTGTTGTCCCACTTATCTATGCATTCATTGGTTGATTCTTATATGTGCCCTGACCAGGGATCAAACCTGCCACCTTGGCATACTGGAACGACATTGTAACCAACTGAACTATTTGGCCAGGGCTCACAAGCTTATTTACCCTTTAAACATGTTTGGTGTGTTTCAAATGTAGACTTTTAGTGAATGTGTGTTGGGGTGGGGGTGGGGAGGCAATAGGTACCAGGATGAGGATGAAGATTAGACAGAACCGTAGACTCTATCACCTTTAAAATTCTGGTCATGATTCTACAAGCCTTTCTGTGAAGCCCACTGGCCATTCCGTTGCTTTGGGGTTCTCATCCTTTGGTAATTTATCTGTTATTTATGAATTACAGATGTTAGAGCTAGAGGAAACCTTAGAGGCCATACTGAAAAATTTTCCTAGGGAAACTCTCTCCTAAACTGATGTGTGTCCATTGCCCGAGAAGTGACAAAACACGTTATGGTGTTCACAGTTAAGTTTAGACATCCAGATAATGAATGGCCTTAATTGTACACACATCTGTTTACTAATAACCCCTTCAGATACTCTTTAGATAGAGACAAACTGAGTCTCTCATTTAAAAGAAGAAACAGGCCTTGAGAATGTAAGTGACCTACCCAAGGGTAAGTATTTTTAAGTTGGCTGTTTGGACTCGCAACTGAATTAAGCTTCTCATAGACAATGAAAAGATGTTCTTTTGTTCCCCTGAAGCACATAGTATAGAAATGAACAAAAGTGGTGATAATACCCACTGAATAAATGCAAGCCTCGCATATGCTTTTCCCTATAAACAGATCTGAGAGATTGATGCTGACGAACAATGTCAATCAAATGACACTGTCTTCTACTTTAGAGTCCTGATATTGGTTAAGGCTGGGGTGTGCCAGGGGAGGGAACAGGCTTTTGTTTCCTGAACTTCTGTAGAAATATTTATGATTTTAAACCTTAAAATGATAGATCTCAATCATTACATGCGTGCAGTGGAATGAACAGTCATATGTAGTGGGAGGACAAGTGTAATAGGTAATGGGCTGCTCATCTCTGGAGGACAGTTTGAATATATCAAGAGCTTTACAGTGTTCATTCTCATTAGCCTTTTAAAATTCCATTTAGGGAAATTTACCCCAAGAAAATCATCAGAGACACAAGTAAAATGCATAGTCAAATTAGCCCACTGGCCATTCCTTTGCTTTGGGGTTCTCATCCTTTGGTAGTTTATCTGTTATTTATGAATTACAGATGTTAGAGCTAGAGGAAACCTTAGAGGCCATACTGAAAAATGTTCCTAGGGAAACTCTCTCCTAAACTGATGTGCGTCCATTGCCCGAGAAGTGACAAAACACATTATGGTGTTCACAGTTAAGTTTAGACATCTAGATAATGAATGGCCTTAATTGTACGCACATCTGTTTACTAATAAACCCTTCAGATACTCTTTAGATAGAGACAAATTGAGTCTCTCATTTAAAAGAAGAAACAGACCTTGAGAATGTAAGTGACCTACCCAAGGGTAAGTATTTTTAAGTTGGCTGTTTGGACTCCCAACTGAATTAAGCTTCTCATAGACAATGAAAAGACGTTCTTTTGTTCCCCTGAAGCACATAGTATAGAAATGAACAAAAGTGGTTATAATACCCACTGATGAATAAATGCAAGCCTCGCATATGCTTTTCCCTATAAACAGATCTGAGAGATTGATGCTGACGTACAATGTCAATCAAATGACACTGTCTTCTACTTTAGAGTCCTGATATTGGTTAAGGCTGGGGTGTGCCAGGGAAGGGAACAGGCTTTTGTTTCCTGAACTTCTGTAGAAATATTTATGATTTTAAACCTTAAAATGATAGATCTCAATCATTACATGCGTGCAGTGGAATGAACAGTCATATGTAGTGGGAGGACAAGTGTAATAGGTAATGGGCTGCTCATCTCTGGAGGACAGTTTGAATATATCAAGAGCTTTACAGTGTTCATTCTCATTAGCCTTTTAAAATTCCATTTAGGGAAATTTACCCCAAGAAAATCATCAGAGACACAAGTAAAATGCATAGTCAAATTGGTTCACTACAGTGGTATTTGTAACATAATGTAATGAACGTAATAGTATATATTTATGTGATATAGCAACATAATGTATGAAAATGGCTAAATAAATTATGGCATAGTTGTAGACTAGAATATTAATTTCATGTTCTCAACTATGTTTACCTTGTAAAATCATATTTTAGAATATATATGAAATAGTTAAAAAAAAAACAAAAAAGGAATAAATTTACCATAATGTTAATTGTGGTTTCTTTGGAATGTGGGATTTTAAGTAATTTTATATTTTTCTTTATTTTCCAGGTTTCCTTTAATAAATATGCTTTTATAAAAAGAAAAAATTATAATTAAAAAAAAATTGGCTCTCCAAGTCCCTGAATTCAGTCCAGATCCCAGCCTAGAGGATATGAGAAGGGACTTTGGGTTGCGTTGGGGGCGTGAGGAGTTGTTGGGCACATAAGTGTCACCAGGACTCCTCCCTGACATACAAGGATCTATGGCCTCTACCTTCCAGATCTATGTGAGGGCTGTGGCTGCGACTGGGGAGGGCTGGCTGTGCAAGGCTCCAGGTGAAGATGATACCAGTTACCACTTTCTTTTGTTTCCCATCCCTGCCGTAGCGTACATAAAATTATCACCCACAGAATAATAATGCCTCCTATCTGTAGTGAATTATATAGTTGTGGAAGTGTATTTCCATATGTTGTAATTGGATTGCCATGAGTTAGCAGTTCTGATAGTTACTTTGACATCATCTGACAGGTGAAGTAACAAATGAGAAAAGGCGTGAGAATTGTTCAAGAAAATACAATCATCTTCTGTAGCTTGTACCAAGGCCCTTCCTTGTGTCCAACCCTTTTGAAGACAATGCTGACTGACATACCCTTGATCTCTATTTGTGGGTGTAAAAGACAAATTATAAGCAATACATAATTGTTCCTCATCTCTCCTAAGATGCTCACACATGCATACAGCAGCAGTAGTTTTTTCCTCCTAGGCCACCAAGATGTAAACTAAACAGAGAAATAAGGATTTATATTGTGGGTTCAAAATAACTTACTGTGTATAGCCACTCGTGTTGCCACAAAATTACACACCAGGTGCACATTGTCTAAGCAGCAGATACCTCATTGATAGGAATGAAAAAGTATGGTTTTCCTTAAGAAGAAAAGGATACCAGCAGGTGTACTCACCAAAAAACCACCAATTTGACTTGTCTGGTCCTTTACAGGATGTAGACCAAGAATTTACAGGGAAATTCAGGCAGCTTGCTTGGGATTTCTCAGTTCAATTTTTGGAGTGCCCTTTGAAGCAAATCCTATGGGTAAAAAAAAAATTGCTAGAAATGTTTTCTATTTCAATATAATTTTCATACATGCATTACAAATTTGGGGCCATTTTCTTTCAAAGGAAAATGGACTATCATTTCTCTATCATGTTAGCTACAAACCAAGAAATGCAACCCCTTTCCTTCTTCCTGTCCTTGAACGGGATCATAATAAGAAGATGACCAATTTCTTCCATTTCTTGTATTTCCCCCTCTCCCTTCTTTAGAGCACTCATGACTTCAAGATGAACAATATATGTTTAGGAAGGAATATAGATATAGTCTATATTGTATGCTTATAGACCCTTAATAAGTGAGGTGGTTCACTTTACAGGGCTGATAAATCTAGCTCATGGGCTGCCCCTCCTCATTTGGGGGGCTCTGCTACTCATCACTGATAGATCATCACACTCTATCCTGTGAATCCAGGGAGGATCTCAGAACCACTGAAACAACAACCACCATCACTGCCAACTGATGAGAGTTGCTGTGAAAGTGACTTGGTTTTCTGCCCTAAATGTGTAGTTGAGACGCTGCTGACAATGTTCTTTGCATGGAGAATCCCACAGGATTTGGGATCCTAAGATAAGAGACTTTAAAGTCATGATACAGAAAATATTCAAATTTAGGAGACTTAAGTTCAAGAGAAGGGTATTTCGGGTGAGACATTAAAATATACCCTAAGCACAAAACTTTTACCTTTATTTTACATCTGGATACATAATCAGCCCAACGTTAAGAATGTTCCCTCCCAACAACTGAGAGCCCTCCTTGAGCTGCATAAGATTCAATAGGGCACGGTGGCTGCAGCACCAGACTGGGAACTAGAGGACTAGTTTTTTTATGCTTTTTTTATTTTCCCAACTTTATTGACCAATATAATTGTATATGAATATAATTGTATATCAATGTAGAACATGATGGTTTGATAGTTTTAATTTTAGCTCTGCCATGACTTTTTCTGTGTTCTTAGGTAAATCATTTCACCTATTTGAGCCAAAGTTTGTTCCCTTAAAGAAAATAAGAAGTTGGATGACCAGTAGTTTTCAAACTTGTTTTTAACTTTTGTTTTGTTTTATTTCTTTAGAGATAGCACCCTTTCTTCCATCACACATGTGCCTAGATGCAGGAACAAAACTGAAAAAGCAGGAGCTGGCTGAAGTGGAGGCGGGATGATGTGGCAGGTCCCTCCAGCTCATCACCGATTCTGCTCCATCATCCACCAGAGCCATGAGGGGACCTCACAGGGCCTTTGGGACTACAGAGACCACAGTTTGAACCTGCTGATTAAATGGCCCCTGAAGACATTAGCAGCTCCAAAATGATTCTGCCCCGACTGTCTTTATATTGCAATGACTGGCAAAGCATTCAGTGGGATTCATGCCTTGATGGCAACACATGCAATAAAACAAGGAGCTGATTTTAATCCTTATTATCAATGATTTACTGGGGGGGAAACTACCACACCCTCAAATAAATCATAGAGTAACAGCTGTTAAGTTACTGCTGAAGTATATAACCTACACCCCCATCTGTATCCTGGATAACACCTAATGATCAACATCACAGTGTTTGATAAGTCAAAATAAACGTGCGAATTACAAGCTGCTCCTGAAATTAATCCTACCCTGCTGAGGCAACAGAATAAAACTTAGACGCCTGCACTATTCATCTACTAGCTAAGTTACTTCAGACACATTTATTTAACTTTTCTGAGCTTCACTTTCCGCATCCATAACGTGGAGATAATTCCTTGCAGAACTGTATGGAGAACAGATAAAATATTTATAAAGCACCATTCCTGGAACATATTATTTGTGCAGAATTGTGAGTTGTCTCTCTTTGCATAATGGCAAAATGTCCTCCTTTAAAAAATAGTGTCATAGTAATGGACATGTACACTCACGAATTGAAAGCAAATTACTAATATATAAACAAGACTATAGGTTTTACATAGTTTTGTATTATATCTTCATAAAGGAAAGGGGGTTATTGATGTGCCTCTAATGTCTATTCAAGAAACAGGAATTTTCCCCAAAATGAAACACGTAGGTTCAATTGTATGTTTCCAGACAACTCCAAATGTATTTCATAAAAATTTTAATGTTGTTTTGCCATAAAAATCTTCAAGTAAAACCCATATGCCATTTTGTCCTATGGCTTCACATTCTTCCTGTCACATTATTAGGTACCCCAAGGCACCCACTTTGAGAAGTCTAGCTCTAGTCCAAATTTTTTACTTTACTGCGGAGAAAACTTTTACCAAAGGTCGTATAACTTGGCATACTAATAGGAAATGGTCTCCGGACATGAATTGGGTTAATTCATTCACTTGCTCATTCTGTGAAACAGGTCTGGGTGTTGCTCACTACATGACAGAGTCTTTATGAAGACCCAATGGGGAAAATTTTCTAGATTCCAGTAGAATGAAAAGCTACTCTGAGCACGACGCTTGGTTTATTTTTATTGGGGGAGAGGGGCATGTGAATCTTAAAGTTGATTATGCAAATGTTTGTTGGACTTAAGACACCTGTGGCATCATCTTAATATGCCTACCCTGATTTTTTACCTTCCCTTCTTGTCATACCATATGTAGTTTTGAAAGCTGTTTCAAATCCATTTTTGGAATGAGGCAGGGTACAAATAAATACATAAAATTAATAAATGTATTTTTTCCCCAAAAGATGCTCTAATTTAATATCAAGTTCCATGTTACGTTCTGCTTGCTTCTCAACTCTCAGTCATAAAACGAGGCTAAGAATAACCTTTCATCTCCCCCTCCACCACTAAGGAATGAGAATTCTGTTTCTTATAAGCAAATCCTTTCTTAAGAGAAATCAATTGTGCACACTCAGAGATATTGGAACATGGGCCTAAAGCTCCCAGGAGACCATGGGGCAAGGGTCATACCACAGAGTTCAAGGGTCACTGCCACCAGCACCATCTGACCCTGGGCATGCCATGTGACTGAAGCTGATATCAACACCTTGTGTTAGAACTGTTATAAGGGTAAAATATGAAATTACATTTGAAAGCATCTTGTAAACTGCCAACCATCAGTTTCTGCCTGGATACCGGCAGTAGCCTCCCAGCTGACTTCGTCCCATCCGCTCTTGCCCACTGCAATCAATGCAGCTCTCATGGCAGGCAAGGTGACTTTTAAAAAACACACAATTTGATCATATCACCTTCCTGCTCAAACCTCTAAACAATATTCCTACTGACGTAGGATTAAGTCCAATATTCTTAGTAAGTCCTATAAGGAAGACTTTGGCTCCTTTTGTCAACTTCATCTTGCACATGCTGTTCCCAACTCTTCAAACCCGTGCTGGTCCCCATACTTACTCCCCCCGCACCCCCTCACCTACCCAGCTCACACTCATCCTTAAACCTCAGAAATCATCCCTGGAGTCCCCGAGACACGTTCCTGTAACGTCATGTAATCCCTCATAACACTAGGTTGAATCACATGAAATTGCCATTTTGGAGGAAAGAAATGCTAGTCTATTGGCAATTTGATATGGCTTAACCTTACAACAATTGGTATAATAGTGTTCCCCTCTAGTCAACTGTAAACTTTACTAGGGCAAAATCTATTCTGACTCACTACTATAAACCCTGTGTTCCACAGCCCTTCCTAGCACCCAGTAGGTGCTTAATTTTTAAATTACTATGCGATGTTATACTACCTTTTTAATGCTCAGCACATAACTTTTATATTGTCATTGGTAGTAAAAATGATGTTTTTATTCAAATGCTACTTCTATGTGTCAAGGAATAAAATGAAGAAATAGAACGAAAAAAATTACTTTTTAAGATTTTCATTTCTGGCATTTCTAGAAAGCATGAATCCTAGTAAGTATAATACACATCATTAGGGATAAAATTAGCCCACTGGTGTGGTATCACTCATGAATTTTTAAAAACTCAAATGTTTCTCACTGAAGGGCAGAATGAAAACAACTCAGCAAGGAAACCAGATGGTTTGGATGTCTCTCCTTTTACAGCTTTTGCGTGCAATAGCAAATCAGTCAGTGGGGAAAAGAAGCATCTAAAAGAGTGCTAGACTTGCAACAGGAGTTTTAAAGTACACTTCCCCATGATATTCAAAAGGAATGCATCCTAAAACTTACCCAATATGCCATATTTAGCGTCCCCCATGAAATGAACAGAACAAAGACCAAGTCTAAACCAAGTTGGGCTGATGTATGTGGTAGGTTAGGCTTCTTCACAAGCTAAGTACTTTAATGATATTAATAGTGTTAATAGCAGCTGACATTCAGTGAGTGCTTATTATGCACCAGGCACTGTGCTAAGCTTTTCTCGTACATTGTCTTATCAAATCACTTCCACAGCCCCATGAAGCAAATTCTAGGGTTGTTTTCATTCTGGAGGCTGCTCATTGGCTAAGGCCCCTTAATTGTAAGTGATGAAGCTAGGATTCAAACCCAGGAGTTCTGAGGCCAGACTCTGTGCTGTTAGCTATTCTGCTCTATGGAAGAATCTATTTGCTTCTGCACCCGTGTCTGGAAGGGTAGAAGTTGTGATGTAACAAAAATGGTGAGTTTTTATGAATTTATATTGCAGCTTTAGAGTTATTTATGACTCAAGAATTTTTTTCAAGAGTCCCAGAATTCAACTTTAAGCAGTAAAAGATATTCTCAACTTGGGTTAGAAATATGGGAGTTCAACTTTTTGGTTGAAGAGTGGAGAATGTCGGAGACTCATTAATATCATAGATTCAGAAATCCCTGGTTATCCAAGTTGTTCCCCAGCTTCTTGCAAAACCTGTCCCATTTTGGAAAGCTTTTGAGAAATCACAGAGACCCACAAAAGGAGTAAACAGAGCCCGCAATTTCACTTTCTACTGCTCAGTCAATAACTTCTAATCAGACTACTCTTTCTTGCTACATTTTAAAAAATTACCTACCTCTTTTAGTGGCAAGGAAAGGAACATACTAACATGCACACTATAGAAACAGAATTTTAAA